GGCCCAATGGGACAGCTTGCTGATTCAGGATGGAGTCCTGTGCCGTAACTGGGACAATGGTCGAGGAGACAGCTGTCATTTACAAATGATTGTCCCTAAAACTAAAGTACCGGATGTTCTACAGCTGTACCATAATGATTATTCAGGAGGCCATCTGGGAGTTAAACGAACTCTACTGAAGATCCGAGAATGGTTTTACTGGGTCCACTGTCGAAACGATGTCGAGGACTGGTGTCGCAAATGTACAAGTTGTGCGGCTGTAAAGGGACCTCAGACTCGTAGTAGAGGTGCATTGAAGTTGTACAATGTGGGTGCACCATGGGAGAGAATAGCCATTGACGTGGCGGGGCCGTTTCCGGAGAGTGAAAGCGGTAACAAGTATTTCATGGTTGTGATGGATTATTTCACTAAGTGGCCAGAAGTCTTCGCCATTCCAAATCAAGAAGCTTCAACAGTTGCAGATAAACTAGTTCATGAAGTCTTCTGTCGTTATGGAGTACCTTTTGAGATTCACAGCGATCAAGGAAGGAATTTTGAGTCTCAAATATTCCAGGAAACTTGCCGAGTTATGGGTACTCATAAAACAAGAACGACTTCTTATCACGCGCAATCTGATGGAATGGTGGAACGATTTAATCAGACATTGGAGAGGTACCTAGCAAAAGTTGTAGACAATCGGCAACGAGATTGGGACAAGCAAATACAACCGTTTTTGTTGTCATATCGAAGTTCTGTTCACGAAAGTACAGCAGTGACACCAGCTTTCGCAAACTTTGGAAGAGAATTACGGCTGCCTGCGGACCAGATCACCGGGATACCACCTGATGCCCCACGCAGTATAACCGATTATGCAAATGACTTGCGGAACAAAATGAATGACATTTATGAGCACGTCAGACAATCGGGCCAGCAAATGTCTGAGAAAATGAAAACCCGGTACGACCGCAAAATGAACAATAAAGGGTTCAACGAAGGTTCATTAGTGTGGTTGCACAATCCAGTCCGCAGCAAAGGGAAATCTCCTAAGCTTCAAGCTAAATGGGACGGCCCGTACCGGATTGTAACCAGGATCAACGATGTGACCTACCGGATACAGAAAGGCGCATGAGGGACTCCTAAGTTCGTCCATGTGGATCGCTTGGCGCGTTATTATGGGACCGATAATGCTCGGGACGAGCATGTCTTAGGAGGGGGCAGTGTTGCATGAATAAGTCAACTAGCGCCATCTAGTGTCAGGAACGAGAGCGAGGGGGAGCTTTGCAGTAAATGACATCACAAATCTTTCGAGCGACAGCGCCACCCGAAGAACTTAGTTTCTGGAAAATCTACACTCGAATACTCGTTGCCTGGCGCGCATTTACTTGAATGTTCGGGACGCTTCTTTGCTAATTATATAAATAGGCGCTGCAAGATGCGATCGGGGCAGAGTTGAACTCGGCGACACAAGCGAAGCTTCGGAGCGGAATTAAGTGAATTAGTGTGTTTAATTATTAGTGTTTTTAGTTTTAATTTGTGTAAAGTAAATTAAATTGTTGATTTAGGTAATTTTATCGACAATTTTTATTTTCACGAACCTCAAGCTCGTAACAATATGTATAAATTTAAAGAAAAGCAGCAACAATACAAAACAAATACTAAAGAACACAAAAAACAATATAAAATAATCAGAGTAAAAACACACAATAATATAGAACAATCACAAAATAAAATATTAATAAATTTTAAAACATTTAAGTTCAACTAATCAAAGGAACATAAAAGGTTGAGAAGCTTTGGCTTATACAGTCTAGACAAAACAATGACCAACGACTCACAGTATTAAGAATGCGTAGGCGACGGCTGCGACCACGATAAGCGGGAACATTCCGATGATAGGCGCGTCTTCTGTAGCGCACTGGAACGGAACTCGATGAATTCTAATTAATGAATTCTCTGACGATAATTATTTTATGAGAATGGATGTTTTTCAGGCTAATTTTCTCTGGATGATTTCCTCTTCTAAAAACCGATGATTGCAGTTCAGGATGCAATCGGGGTTCTCCTTAGTAAGTATGTGGATTCCTTTCCAGGAATCAATTGGGTCTCCGTAACGGAATGGACGTCCAGGCCGCAGCGTTGGGTATAGCACTTGCACTATATTTAGGCTCACTAGGACGCGCCAGGACGACACAGGATATTATTTAAGTTTAAAAGATTTTAGGATACGGAGCGAGTCTGCTGAGCGGTTCCATTTCACTTGTCACTGGGAATTTCCGTATCCCACCGCTGCCACCAAAATGTTATACGGAGACAGGCTAATAGGTTTTTAAAAAAAGATTTATTTAACACACTGAAATTTAATTAAGTATAAATGGATTAAATATTATAAACCGGTTAGAAATTAACTTAGGTCCGTAGACAACCGAGCAGCTTCGAATATGGAAGCAGACTGAAGTGGCCGAACTGCCCCACTGCAATACTCACTGAACCTTAAGGCCAAGTCAACATTATGAAGAGGCAGTGCAGCAATATGGCTAACAAATATAGGGTATAACAGTCCGTTCACCACCAAAATTATCCAGCACCCTGAATATCCCTGTATACCATATATACACTACATAAATGTTCCAACCTCCATCGAAACTTACGCTTAAACTGATTCTGTATAATTCCCTATATATGTTACAAAGATAACGATGATAAAGTTACATCCATCAATATTGGAAAAGATATTGATGGATGTAACCGTATAATTCCGTATACAGTTTTTACATTTTATATTCATCGTACTAGTCAACCGGCTTCCAGCTATATCAGCGATTATAATACTGTTTCTGATATATCAGTAGATACAATTTTTATGTTAGTATTTATTTCGTGATTTTATAATCTCAATAGTGATAAGCAAAATTCTCAATTAATTTCCTTAGTAGAAAATATTTTTCACTTTGAATAAAACTATTATTTACGGATTTTATCGCGTTTAATTACTTTAATTTATTTTTATTATTATCCCGACGTTTCGGGTGCTTTACAGCGCCCATGGTCACGGGGGGGACTGAGATGTTTGACGTCCCAATGTCATAGTTAGTCCGGCTACCTTCAGTTTTTTAATATTAATTTTTGGTCCGATTTACGCAAAACGAGCTTATAGTATCATGAAGTCTTGCAGTGGTATGCTTGGGTTTGGGTTTAATTTTGTTAATTATAGGATCCCAAGCAGATGGTAGCACCCAACCATCTTCTCTATTGAAATTTGGATGTTTTTTAATTTCAATAGCCTCGCGTATCATCCTTGGTAGGAATCGGTGTTCTTTTGCGAGAATTTGTGGTTTATCAAATCTAATGTAATGGTGGGGACGATCTTGAACATGTTCGCAGACTGCAGACTTCCCGGAGCGTCGGTGCTTCACATGAGCTATATGTTCCTTCACGCGGGTTTTTATAGATCTCTTTGTTTGACCTATGTAAGAGAGACCACATTCACAATCTAGCTTGTACACACCTGCATCTTGTAGAGGAATATTACATTTGATGGATGGTAAAAATTTCGGAAATCCTGATAACACTATTGGTCACACTGTGTATGGGAAAAAGACCCATACCAACCGATATTTAAATGGTGAATCTCACCATCATCCTTCACAGTTAGCTACCGTGGGTAAATCTTTGTTTCAGAGAGCACGAGGGATCTGTGACAGAAAACATCTGGCCGCGGAGCTTCAGCACGTCAAGCAAGTATTGCAAGACAACAAGCTTCGGGTCCCGCGCCTACGTCACAGTGAACGAGTGAAGCCGGCCACAGTCGAGCGCGCGCCTGCTCTACTACCATATGTTAGAGGAGTCACGGACAAGATTGGCTACATCTTGAAGCGAGCGTCCATTAAGACATACTACAAGCCGCTGAAGAAGATTAGTCAATTTTTACCATCCATCAAATGTAATATTCCTCTACAAGATGCAGGTGTGTACAAGCTAGATTGTGAATGTGGTCTCTCTTACATAGGTCAAACAAAGAGATCTATAAAAACCCGCGTGAAGGAACATATAGCTGATGTGAAGCACCGACGCTCCGGGAAGTCTGCAGTCTGCGAACATGTTCAAGATCGTCCCCACCATTACATTAGATTTGATAAACCACAAATTCTCGCAAAAGAACACCGATTCCTACCAAGGATGATACGCGAGGCTATTGAAATTAAAAAACATCCAAATTTCAATAGAGAAGATGGTTGGGTGCTACCATCTGCTTGGGATCCTATAATTAACAAAATTAAACCCAAACCCAAGCATACCACTGCAAGACTTCATGATACTATAAGCTCGTTTTGCGTAAATCGGACCAAAAATTAATATTAAAAAACTGAAGGTAGCCGGACTAACTATGACATTGGGACGTCAAACATCTCAGTCCCCCCCGTGACCATGGGCGCTGTAAAGCACCCGAAACGTCGGGATAATAATAAAAATAAATTAAAGTAATTAAACGCGATAAAATCCGTAAATAATAGTTTTATTCAATGTGTAGTGTTCGCGTAAATTTAAGAAATCATTATATTTTTCACTGTTTTTAGCAACTAAAGCTACTTCTTTAACCGCAATTGACTATAAAGAATTTTTCCTCTATTTATTTATTTAAACTTTATTGCATCATAATAATTCAAATATACGAGGTGAGGTTGTTAGGTAAGTTAATGCCACGGGCAGATGATTTGTGTAGTAAATGTATGTAGTAAGGTAATTGTTAGGTAAGCTTATGTTTTTCTTTTAAGTAAATGTTAAATTGGAAATCAATTATATCTCAATGATAATATTCGCTTTTAAATTATGATATATCAATGTAATTTTCAGAAAAAATTAAGTAATAGAAATAAAACAATAATATTCTAAATATAGGATATTAGCAAACTAAATCACTGACATTATACCATATTTAAATTATTGATCATTGGTATGTATTGAGGAAATTCAAAGATTCTTAAATTATATGGACATCGTTTTGAAAACAATAAAAAAGATTGTTAATAATTCGTTAATTTTTGAAAGTAAATATTTTGCACAAAAACTCTAATTTTAAGCCAGTCTTTGTTTTCCAGCAAATCTCCGTATTGTTCTTTTAATATTTCACATTCATGTTTTCTAGGTAGTTGTTTATTTTTAATGTGTAATTTGAAAAATTTTTCCGACGTCAAAGGTACTAATGTTCTTTTCTTTCCTGTTTTTATTTTATTTCTGGTATTTAATACCTGTGTTATCTGCTCGGTGACGCATTGTTGTGAAGTCCGAATACCGGATGGTCTAGCCTGAGATAAATTGTTTTGACTACGCATTTGTTGAATGCAATCAGAGTTGACAGTTTCGATTAGCTTACAATCATAATCGAGTATTTGATCGTTCCTCTTTCCGAATCGAACCTCTTCATCTAGCTCTTCATTCATATCTAAATCGATCTCTTCGTGAGTCTTTCCTTTGAAAGCATCTGCTTTACCATCTTCTATAACAATAAGAAGTTTCGATATGTTAGCAGTTTGGTATACTTCATTTGGCAATCTATAAGATTTTTTGTGCACTTCATTATTCATGTTATTTTTAGAGATGCTAAATATGTGTGACAACGTAGCTAAGTGTTTTCTGAGCCTTGTCGACGAGATTGCTTTTGGATTTTTTGCTCCAGATAACCTTGCATGCCTTTTGAGAACTTTATAGCCATAGATAGTGTTTTCATAACATGGATTACCAAATAAAAAATATTTGGCTTTGAAGAAAAAAAACAGGTGTCTTATTGACAATAATGGTTTTATGTCCACTTGAACTTCTTGATTAAACAAAACGGGTACTCCACGATAACGTTTGTCTCTAATAAAAACTCTCTTAAATTTCTTAACCAGAATCCTTTCAGAGGCAGTAAACCTCTGAAGATCAAATTCATCATACTTTTCAGATGCATTATTATCACTTTATAAATAGTCGTGCAGTGTGATTCTTTTAAGTTCGCCAGGCTTGCGTCTGTTCAATAGTAAAACCCTACAATACACAGTTTCTAATAGTTTTGTGTATGTTGCAATATTTTTCATGCCTTCTTTAATTTGTATAGAAACCTCCAAAGATTTTTTATTTAACTATTCTTTTAGAATTTTCAAGTAATTTGCTAAAGGGACAATAGTTATTCTTATAACGTAGTACGTTTCTAGAGCAGGCGGAAAAAAGTAGATTGACCTCAAGTATAATGTTAGCATCGAAACAAAACGAAAGTTATTGCTTCCATACATTTCTTTTTAGATTAGGTATCGTTATGCGCTAAGCGTGTCTCATGGTACGGGGTAGGATGAAGGAAGAGGTCATTCAGAGATAATAAACCTGTTTCGACGCGATTTGCGATAGGTTTCACGCAATGCGTATTTGAGAAAACGGATGGAGCAGAACTCATTCTTCATTCTGCTTTGGGATGCGCTTACGTGTAAATAGTTTGAGATTTAAAATTTTCGGTTATAATAGTTGTTTTAATTTTTATTAAGTTTGTTTTGTTAGTTGTATTATTACGTTTTGCATTAAAGTTTTTGTTATTGTCTTGTGACGTTTCGTATATTATCACTAGTATGAAATCGGGTCCATCGACATAAAAATCTCATCTGGGGGCACGGTGCCCCCGCCAAGTTGAGCAAAAAAAGCGTACCATACTTTTCTCGAAGTAATTCAGCCCATTTTCGACCCCCTATAACTTCATGGTGGATAGAAATAGAAACCTGAATTTTCAGATACCAATTAATTCAATTTAAACCTGTAGTTTAGGAATTATAATTAGTCAAAATTTCTTAATTTTGTCACTCACTGACTGACCGATCATCATAACTCTAAGGCACTTCTAGCAGACATAGAAGCTTCAAACTTAGAACACCATAAGTGTTTAGTCTATCAATCAAGGAAAAACTAAAATATTTTTCAATTTCGGTCCAGTTTTCTAGATACTTTAACTGCGTAAATAACTGTGTAATCCCATATAACTATATAGGATTACAAAGTAACATTTCCAGTGAATGAATCAGTGTACCACTATATGTACAATTTAATTGAATAAAAGGTGTAGATAGGTTCTTTGTTGGTACTCAGGAAGTAGAAGGTAACGGAAGGAAAAAAGTAGGACTATCTGCAAAAAGAAATGAGATGCTATCAAAAACAAAACTTGTAAAAAATCCAAGTCTCGCAACTCAGTTCTTCTATCGTAAAAAGTTGTGAATCCATGTAATAACAAGTCGGTTAATTTATTCAGTCCCTACTTAAGGGTCCTTCTGTCTTAACTTATTATGTAATTAGCTAACATAACAATATCTTATTGTGACCATATCAATATTAAAAATCTTTTATGTTTTAAATAAAAAGATGGACTTCGCAATCGCATTAAGCAATCGAATTTCATATAATATTGTTACGAGCTTGAGGTTCGTGACGATAAAAATTGCCGATAGAATAACCTAAATTAACACTTTAATTCACTTTACACTAATTAAAACTTAAAACACTAATAATTAATCACACTGATTCATTTTATTTCGCTCCGAAGCTTCGCTTGTCTCGCCAAATTCAATACTTACCCGATCGCATCTTGCAGCGCCTATTAATACAAATTAGCACCGAAACATCCAGAATATTCAAGTAAACACGCACAACGGGCCGAGAGTTCGAGTGTCGACTTCTAGAAGCTTAGTTCTTCGTTCCGAGACCAGATGACGCTGTCGGTTGAAAGATTAGTGATGTCATTTTCTGGAAAGCTCCCCTTGCTCTAGTCCCTGACACTAGATGGCGCTAGTGCCGGATACATGTCGTCGACATATTCGGGCAACACTGCCCCCTCCTAAGACATGCTCGTCCCGAGCATTATCGGCCCCATAATAACGCGCCAAGCGATCCACATGGACGATTTTAGGAGTCCCTCTTGCGCCTTTCTGAATCCTGTAGGTTACATCGTTGATCCTGGTTACAATCCAGTACGGGCCATCCCATTTAGCTTGAAGCTTAGGAGATTTCCCTTTGCTGCGGACTGGATTGTGCAACCACACTAGTGAACCTTCGTCGGAGCCTTTATCGTTCATTTTCAACTCGTACCGAGTTTTCATCTTCTCGGACATTTGCTGGCCCGATTGTCTGACGTGCTCATATATGTCATTCATTTTGTTCCGCAAGTCATTTGCATAATCGGTTATGCTGCGTGAGGCATCTGGTGGCATCCCGGTGATCAGGTCTGCAGGCAGCCGTAATTCTCTTCCAAAGTTTGCGAAAGCTGGTGTCACTGCTGTACTTTCGTGAACAGCGCTTCGATATGACAACAAAAACGGTTGTGTGTGCTTGTCCCAATCTCGTTGCCGATTGTCTACAACTGTTGCTAGGTACCTCTCCAATGTCTGATTAAATCGTTCCACCATTCCATCAGATTGCGGGTGATAAGAAGTCGTTCTTGTTTTATGAGCACTCATAACTCGGCAAGTTTCCTGGAATATTTGAGACTCAAAACTCCTTCCTTGATCACTGTGAATCTCTAAAGGTACTCCAAAACGACAGAAGACTTCATGAACTAGCTTATCCGCAACTGTTGAAGCTTCTTGATTTAGAATGGCGAAGACCTCTGGCCACTTAGTTAAGTAATCCATCATAACCATGAAATACTTGTTACCGCTTTCACTCTCCGGAAACGGTCCCGCCACGTCAATGGCTACTCTCTCCCATGGTGCAACAACATTGTACAACTTCAATGCACCTCTACTACGAGTCAGAGGTCCCTTTACAGCCGCACAGCTTGTACATTTGCGACACCAGTCCTCGACATCGTTTCGACAGTGGACCCAGTAAAACCGTTCTCGGATCTTCAGTAGAGTTCGTTTAACTCCCAGACGGACTCTTGAACGACCATTATGGCACAGCTGTAGAACATTCGGCACTTTAGCTTTAGGTACAACCATTTGCAAACGACAGCTGTCTCCTCGACCATTGTCCCATTTACGGCACAGGACTCCATCCTGAATCAGCAAGCTGTCCCATTGAGGCCCAATAGCTTTTCGTGGTTGACTCATCGCTGAGACTTCGCTCCACTTAGGCTTGATAGCACGGGCCTTCATCTATTCCAGAATCGGCTTGATGTCTGGATCTTCCTACTGTGCATGTCTTAGGGTATCCTTATACTCGTTGCTGAGGTGGTCTGTCCTGAGTATCCTCACGGATACCACTTCCTTACTCTCTTGCCTAGTACAATGTTTCCAATCTTCAGGACAAGGTCTTCTTGACAACGCATTTGCGTTGCCATGAGATTTCCCGCTGCGATGTCTGGTAGTAAAGTCGTATCCCGGCTGCTGCTGGGCGGTGATGTTAGCCGCACTTCCCTTCTGAGATCGTTCACCTTCCCTTTCTAGGGTTCGCTTAGGGCAGCTGGATCGAAGATGGCCCCTTTCCCCACAGCCATAGCACCTAAGGTTGTATCCATTATTGGGGTCGCGAATTGTAGCTAATGCAACCCAACTGACGCGATGGGAACGATGATCCTGCCGCACGGCTTCCACCTCCAGTGCATGGGCCAAGGCGTCCTTAAGCGTCTCGTGGTGTCCGAGCCTCACAGCAGCTCTGACTTCCAGGTCGCGGATGCCGTCGATGAATGTCTGCACCAGGTTCCCTTCAATGAGCGCAGGTACAGACCGGTATGCTTTTCGCACCAGCTTCTCCACCTCTAGAGCCCACTGCTGCAGGTTTTCATTGATGCGCTGCACGCGATCTTTAAGCTGCGCACGGAAGACGTGTTCCAGGTGGGCTTCACCATATCTCACCTCCAATGCCTCAAGGAGTTGCTCATAAGTCACATCCTCACCGAGAGCTTCCAGAACTGTTAAGGCCTGGTCGCGCAGGCCTAGTGTTAGAGCAGTCATGGCCTGACTTTTATTCCAGCCGTTCGCCTTCATAACAGCCTCGAACTGGATTTTGTAGGCTGACCAGGAACAAGTCCCGTCGAACGGTGGCACGTTGAACCCACGTAGCGAAGGTATTGTAGCTACAACGGGAGCTGAAGTTCCATCTCAAAGTTTGAGTTCGTCCAGTGATTTCTTCATGTCAGCCATTACGTTGTCAACCTGATTGTTTACTTGATCGATTCGGGTTTCAGCTTCCGACAGGCGGTTGTCATATTGAGCAACCTTATCCTTCACCTACCATATCTCTTTTACGAAGGTAGCGTGAAGGTCCTTCATGAGGAGCATCTGCTCTTCCAACCGACGGGCCTGTTCCTCTTGTCGGCGGGCCTGTTCCTCTTGTCGGCGGGCCTGTTCCTTGGGTTATCCTGTCGCCCCGAGCTGTTGCGGGCCTGTTCATCCTGTCCGCCCCGTAGCTGCTCTTCCAACCGACAGACCTGTTCCTCCTGTCGGCGAGCCTGTTCCTGCAGCATCACCATCAGAGCACTTAAGTCGGCTGCTGCAGATGTAGGAGCTACTGACGGGCCTGCAGCCGGCGGCTGGCCCTCCGACGTCTGCGGCGTTGCACCATCAAAGCTTCTTTGGTCCGTCTCCTGCTGGCGTTGACTTCGGGTACGGACACCTTCCGTTTCCTCCTT